CCTTCACATACAGAGTGACTTATTCTTGTCATTACTAACCAGTTCTTGTTAAGAGTGGTCTGTGTTTTATTGTGGATCCTGACCTCCCACCAGCCTTTACAGCGGCTCAGTGATGGATTTCACTTGAGACCTCCCTCCAAGTTAATATAGTGTCATTGACTACTATCCTTTGAGTGCAACTGTTCTATCAATTGCAAAGTAGAGTAGACCACATGTATTTATAAGATTATTATGACATATTTGGTTGAGTGCTCTACTATAGTACATATTTTATATTATTTCCAGTTATAATACGTCCAGAATATTCCCTCATTCAACAGTTACTCCAGCATAAAAATGGATACAGGTCAATCTAAAATAACCTATGAGCCTCATCATGGACTCTCAACATTTTTTAAACTTTCACCAAAGACTGATTTAGTAGGATTCTATTTAGTTGGACTCTATGAAGCTGCAAAGAATGAAGCAAATCCTTAAAAGCTGCTTCTCTTTGCACTTCCAAAAGCAAAGAGGGATAGAATCAAGATCATGTGAAGTGTTAATACCACTTTATAATGCTTTGCTAAGGCCACACGTGGAATACTGCATTTAACTTTGGTCACCACGACGTAAAAAGGATGTGGAGACTCTAGAAAGTGTGCAGAGAAGAGTAGCAAAGATGATTAGGGGATTGGAGAATAAAACATATGAAGAACGATTGCAGGAACTGGGGATGTCTAGTTTAATGAAAAGAAGGGGAGACATGATAGTAGTGTTCTGATATCTCAGGGATTGCCACAAAGAAGAGGGAGTCAAACTACTCTCCAAAGTACCTGAGGGCAGGACAAGAAGCAATGCGTAGAAACTAATCAAGGAGAGTGGCAACTTAGAAGTAAGGAGAAATTTTCTGACAGTTAGAACAATTAATCAGTGGAACAGCTTGCCTCTAGAAGTTTTGAATGCCCCAACACTGGAAGTCTTTAAGAAGATGTTGGATAACAATTTGTCTGAAGTGGTGTAGGGTTTCCTGCCTAAGCAGGGGGTTGAACTAGAAGACCTCCAAGGTCCCTTCCAACTCTGTTATTCTATAGTCTATATTTGCAAAGGAGAGGATTCCTTTCATTCAGGTTTTCTCTGTCGCCCCTCTCGGCTTTCTTCAGTGGACCATGTGAGATACACCTGAAAGGGCTTTCTATTTCAGTGAGGAAGAAATTAGGATAAAGACAAAAGAACGAATAGCTCAATTTTTTTCAATAGTTTTCTTATAATCAGATGAAAGAGGTTTAATATGGAAAAAAACAGGCAATTGGAATTGGAAGAAGAAAGCTGAAGTGGAGTTATGTACAAATGATCGTAAAATAGCTTAAATGCATACCTTATTATTAAGATTTGAAACAGAAGATCTGCAAGTTAAAGACTGCGCGGTAATTCTCCAACCTTTTTTTCCGAGGAGAAATATGAATATAGGAGAGAAAAAGGGGAAAACTATACTGTGTCATAATTTAAGAACATTTTAATAGAATGTTCTGTTGTCGGTATATGACACTGTTCAAGCTGTCAAAAATGTATAAAAAAACATCAAACCAATTTGAAGTGTGAAAAAGAAGAGGGGACTATTTATCATGCATAGCAGACTTGTCAAAAAGCAAAGAAATTTTGGATGCAAATCCATAGAATAATGCAAAAGATATTATGCATTAACATTATGATGAAACTGGTGTTATTTCTGTTGGATTTTATGGACATTGAACTAGAAAAGAAATATGGAAAATTAATATTGTATATGGTAACTGTGGCTAGATTATTGTATGCACAGAGACGGAAGACTGATGAAATACCTAGCAGAAAATCGGATTATAAAATTGTCAGAGCTCACAAAAATGACAAAGCTGACCAGTTTGATCAGAGAAAAAAAATGATGAAACTGTTTTAAAAGGTGAAAAACCTTATATGGACTTTTTGCTGAAAGAAAAAAAAAGATCCCACTGATGGTTTATGGATATGGGTTTAGAAAGAGTTAAAGAGGGAGAGGACAGAGGAGGATGGCAACTATTTGATATAAAGGAGGGAAGAAATCAAATTCCTTCCTTCCTTCCTTCCTTCCTTCCTTCCTTCCTTCCTTCCTTCCTTCCTTCCTTCCTTCCTTCCGCTTTTCCATTCCCATTTTCCTTTCTTCTCTTTATCATTATCCTTTCTTCCTTTCTCCCTTTCTCCCTTTCTTTCTTCCTCCCCCTGCCTCCCTAACATCTATCATCTCTCTGTCTTATGTTTTCTTTAATATTTTACATGTTTATTGCATTCAAACATTCTATAAGTAAACAAACAAGCAAACAAGCAAACAAACAAAGGTTTTCTGTTGAGAGCTGTGCCAGATATTCACAGAGTGGCAGCCAAACAGAATCCAGCTAGCTGTATATGTACTATGTGGGTTGGAATGCCTTGGAATAACCTAGTTAAACTCCTGCTGGATGCAACCTCAACCACAACCACAACAGCCTGACAGGTGGCCATTCAGCTTCTGTTTACAAATGTCTAACAAAGGAGAGGCAGGTTTTCTATAGTATCTTAGCTCCTACTATTCAACAACAATGTGCATGACTCTATGACCTCTTGAAATCTGAACAGGTGTCCCAATTAAAAAGTCCTACTGTAGCCAATTCATTTTGCCTGGAAGGACACAGGCCAAGGAGACATGTGGTTTTCTTCACAGAATCACAGCGTTGGAAGAGACCAGTTGGGTCACAAAGTCCAACTCCCTATTATGGGCAGAAATCCAAAGATTAAAATAGATGAGACAAGTCAAGACGAGAATAGACCAGAACAGGGAATGGAATGGAATGGAATGGAATAGAATAGAATAGAATAGAATTTTTTATTGGCCAAGTGTGATTGGACACACAAGGAATTTGTCTTTGGTGCAGATGTTCCCAGTGTACATAAAAAGACAAGATACATTCGCCAAGAATCATAAGGTACAACACTTAATGAGAGTCATAGGGTACAAATAAGCAATCAGAAAACAATACCCATATAAATCGTAAGGCTACAAGCAGCAGTTACAGTCCTGCAGTCACAAGTGGGAGGAGATGGGTGATAGAAATGATGAGAAGACAAATAGTAATAGTAATGCAGCCTTAGTGAATAGTTTGACTGTGGTGAGGGAATTATTTGTTTAGCAGAGTGATCTTGTGTCTAGTTGTCTTGGTGTGCAGTGCCCTATAGAATCGTTTTGAGGGTAGGAGTTGGAACAATTTATGTCCAGGATGTGAGGGGGTCTGTAGATATTTCCACAGTCCTCTTTTTGACTTGTGCAATGTACAACATGCAGTTAACAACCTCTGGCTCCTCAGCTTGTCATAAGTTCCATGGTGGAACTCTCCTTCTTTGAAGCTTTCTCTAACATTCAGTTGGCATCTGCTTCTGTTAGTCAACTCTGCCATTCCACATCCAGCCTCTCCAGCCAGATCTTAGCTTTCTAGGCCACACCTTTCAGGTATTTGAAAAATGTTGGCATTTTTTTCAGGATAAAAGCTGTATAATTTCTTCAATTGTTCTTCATAGAAATTAATTTCTAGATCCTTGACCAGCCTTTTTGCCCTTCTCTGGTATTGTGCAACTTTATGTGATTCCCCCCCCCCCAAAAAAAAAGTGTAACCACACCAGACCCACTATTTAAATTGGGATGTGATCAAAGCAGAATCAACTAGAGAAACTGTTACTTCCTCTAATTTGGATTCTTCTGTTGATAAAATCTAAAACTGCATTTGCTTTTATGTGCTACCATCACGTTCCTGGCTCATACTCAGTTTTCAAAATCAAATCTGATTTCAACCACTGTTTCACAAGAACCATTGTTAATCCAGGGATCTCCAGTCTCGTCCTGCATGCTTGATTTCAATCAATCAGAATAGAGGTGGGAGGGACCTTAGAGGTCTTCTAGTGTAGTCCCCTGCTCAAGCAGGAGACCCTATAACATTTCAGACAGGTGGCTGTCCAGTCTTTTCTTAAAAACCTCCAATGATGAAGCACCTACAACTTCTGAAGGAAAGCTGTTCCTCTGGTTAATTTTCCTCACTGTCAGGAAGTTTTTCCTTCATTCCATTATTATAGCATTGCTATAATCTAGGTATATCATATCTATAGCATTATTAGAGCTTATTAAGGGAGCTTCACCAAAGCAGAATAAGGTAAGACTAGGCTGGAAAGATTTTATCTTGTCATGCCCATGCTGACTTATGACAATTTATTGCTTTGTTTTCAAGATGTTTGCTGAACAAAATATTCATTTTGTGGCTCCTCTAGATTGTAGTTCCCCAACCCCTTTTTTTCATCTTTTGCAAAATCAACTATTTTGCTACTATCTGTCACTTCAAAAGTTCTTTGGGATTTTTCAAAAATAATGAAAGTTCAGCCAGATCATTTGATACTTCCTTAGATATAGTTATTCGGGTTGTAGAAAGTTAATTCATCCTTTCTGATGTTTCTTGATATTTTGACTTAAATCTCTTGACCAGAGAATAAGGTGATAAAGGCACTATTTTTACCAAAGATGATGTGGCTAGGGGCAAATTAAATCTTATCATGGATCCAAACTGTATGACATTAAATAAGAAGCAAAATTGCTCCATGGTTCTCTTTGGCAGATTTTGTTATGGATTCATAAATAACAAGCTCCATTATGATGTGGATGATACACCACTTCATAGCTATTTTAAGAAAGTCAAGACAAAATTCTAATATTCGCATAAATAGATTTTCAGACAAAAACGAACATGCTTTGACCTGATTGCTTGCTTTCATGATTGCAACTTGTTCATGCCATGGGTTCTTGGAGATCTAAAAATTAAGAATTTGAATTCATAATGTAATCTACCACTGATGAATATTAAATATTGAGGGAACTTTGTTACAGGCCTGGCACTTGACCTACGGTTAGCAAAGAACATCCAGAGTATACTGGAGATCTACAGTTGTTTTGTCTTCTGTGTATTAATTATTTCATATCTATCAACTCATATCAGGTTTCGTAACTTCAACAGCTCAATTAAGCTATTTTTAAAGGAACTGCAGAATCCTGTCGCCAAGGTTGCAGAGCTGCCAGGAACCGAGGAAGCCTCCGATGTGGCGAGATAATCTATTCCACAAAGCCAACCATGTTCAAGGCTTTGGGGAATCATGGCTTTGGAAAAGAGGATTCCTCTCAACTTTAGCATTATGAGATGGACAACAACATCCCTTGTGAGATCCAGAGCTACCACATCTGCATGGGGCCTTAGAGGGAGGCTGAGGGATTACTATTAGAGAGTCTTTGAATAGTAGAAGCTGAATACCTCATTATTAATTATTATTATGCAGCTGTTTACAGTTGTTTCAATAAAAGGGACTTTTATTTCAGGGCAGTTTTTCCCCACTCAGGGTCTTCCAGACAAAAACCTAGACTAATATCAATGTCTCAGTCAAAAGAGAAAACAAAGCCATGTGATTAATAGGCCGAAATCCTTTGGTGGTTAGTGGCTCAAAGGGAAGGGAGAAGCCATTGCAGGCATTAAAATGAGCTTTTGGAAATCAATTATATCATAATTCATATACTGACAGCAGCAAGAATAGCATATGCCCAAACCTGGAAAATAGATGGCATACCCTCCGAAAACATGATAATTAAAAAAAATAATGGACTGCATGGAAATGGTTAAATGAACTCTCAAACTGCAAGATAAAAAAGAAAAAGAATACTATACAATATGGGACAAATGGTATCAGTGGTTAGAGAATAAGAATAACAAATGAAAGTAGAACATTGATATATGTAAATATTAGGTTATAGGAATTATAAATGTAAAGAGAAAATTGCAAATGAAAAACGAATGGAAAGTATGTAAGATGATAAACGAAAGGGGATATACCGATGTCTTAGGAATGGGAAGAATGGATGTTGAACTTGATTTTTATGTTTTGTTTTGTAAAAACATTAATAAAAATTACATATTAAAAAAAGATGAGCTTTTGGGTATCTTTTCCCATCAAGGCTGACTACTACCGTGTTTCCCTGAAAATAAGATGGGGTTTTATTTTCGTTTGAACCTCGAAATAAACGCTTGGCCTTATTTTTGGAGAGGTCTTATTATTTTTGAGGTGCAGGAGGCGGCAAGCATAGTCACCTTATGGCTGCTGTTGTGTTGCGTGTCACTGTGCCTACTGCTCTTTTTGCGGCGGCCATTAGTGTTACAGAAGGAGCACAGTGGCTGGGGTTGCAGGAGCGGCTGTTAGATAAGGGCCTGTGGGGTGCATGAGGCATATTCCCCCTCCCTTCCCCCACTCTGGCCTCGCCTCACCTTTGGTTGTTTGTGCAGCAATGAACCAGAGGAAATGGCGGGGACTGGCTGTGCATGCATTTCAATATTTTTCGGGAGGGCTTTTTTTTTGGGGGGGGGGGGGGGTTGTTTTGGTGCAGTGTTTCTCAACCTTGGCAACTTGAAGATGTCCGGACTTCAAGTTGCCAAGGTTGAGAAACACTG